AAAACCTCAACTAGAATCTGGAAAAATAACTCTGAAACCTTAGAACAGATCCGACGTCCAAAACGAAATAACCATAACTCTCTGAATATAAATCGGATTACCGTGATCTCGGATGGTTTAGAAAGCTGAGAAGACGATCTTTCCGATGATACCAAAATCAGCTTCTGAGACCTCACGAAACAGCTGGAAATCTCCCCGTAAGTTCCGTTTCTGATTCTGATTTTTTCACCCTTCTCCTTCCTCACTTCTCCACAGTTTCGTATCTCCTTCTCCAATATCAATCAAACACTAGCACGATTTTTGATGGAGCAAACTGAGAATGCGGCTGCTGCTTTAGGGTTCACAAGCTCTCTCACGTTTCTTTTTAAAGCTGAAGATACTTGTATATACATATGTACAATTTTTGTTTTGGGTTCTTATTGGGCTTTGGCTAACCCAAAACGGGTCTCACAATTCTCCCCCACTTCTAGAGAATTCGTCCCTGAATTCAAAACTCCACTATCCTCAGTAAAGAGTTCAGGATAATCTTGTCTCATGTGTTGTTCAGTCTCCCATGTTACCTCCTGAATACCATCTCTTTCCCAACATATTTGAACTGTTCGAGCTTTCTTTCCCATTGAGCCACCATCTCTACGGCTTAGGATTGACACAGGTCTTCCCTTAACTGACAAATCTAGCTCCAAGTCTTTAGGTGGCTGTGGTATGATCAACTCCTTTTCTGCAACCACTTTCCGTAATACAGAGACATGAAACACATCGTGAAATGCTTCTAGTTCTGCTGGTAGTTCTAGACGATAAGCCACAGCTCCAATTCTCTCAATGATAAGATAAGGTTCCATGTATCTTGGCTTAAGTTTTCCTCTCTTAGCCCACTTGTTCAGCCCTTGAACATTCTCATTTTCAGATACACCAAGTCTCCAACTGCAAACTCTAAATCCTTTCTCCTTTTATCTGCATAACTTTTTTGACGATCATGAGCTTCTCTTAATTTTCCCTTGAGGATCTCTACTTGTTCAGTTGTCTCTTGAATTATTGCAGGTTCTGTGTCCTGGCGCTCCCCCACTTCTGTCCAACAAAGAGGTGTGCGACAAGGTCGTCCATAAAGAGCCTCGAACGGTGACATACCTAGGCTTGCATGATAGCTGTTATTGTAAGCAAACTCTGCTAAAGGTAAATGTCTCTCCCAACGTCCTCCCCAATCCAACATGCACGCCCTCAACATATCCTCCAGTGTCTGTATAGTACGCTCAGATTGTCCATCTGTCTGAGGATGATATGCTGTGCTCAAATTAACCTTAGTTCCCATAGCCTTCTGGAAAGCCTTCCAGAACAATGAAGTGAACTTTGAATCTCTATCTGAAATAATGCTTGCAGGAACTCCATGTAACCTTACAATCTCATCCATGTACATCTGAGCTAGGCGATCTGCACCATCTGTCTTTTTAACTGCTAGAAAATGAGCTGACTTAGTAAGTCTATCCACAATCACCCAAATCGCATCTTTCTTACTCAGAGTTCTTGGAAGTCCAGTGACAAAATCCATTGTTACCATATCCCATTTCCATTCTGGCAGTGGCAAACTTTGTAGTAACCCACTTGGAACTCTATGTTCTGCTTTCACTAGCTGGCATGTCGTGCACTTTGCTACCCATTCTCCAACATCTCGTTTCATTCCATTCCAGTGATAATACCTTTTCAGATCCCGATACATTTTTGTAGAACCAGGGTGAATGGAAAAACGTGACTGATGTGCTTGCTTCAAAATCTCTCCCTTCAGACCTTTATCATCTGGAACACACACTCTACCTCTGAAAACAAGTGTCCCATTTTTCGTAGTGTGATAGCCTGCTACTTCACTCTTCACTGTGTTCTGTAAACCAGTGTCTCCATTCTGAGCTTCACGAATTCTCCAAAGTAAATATGCTTGGTTTACTGCTTCTAATCCCATAACTCCTTCCTCTACAGATGCAGAACAAATACTCAAACTTGCCAATGTTGAAACGAGCTCTTCTACTTCTTTTATTCTGGACACATCATTCCTTCTCCTACTTAGTGCATCTGCTACCTGATTAGCTTTTCTTGGATAATAAGCAATATCCATATCATAATCTGCTAACAGCTCCATCCATCTTCGCTGCCTCAAGTTGAGATCTGACTGAGTGAAGACATACTTTAAACTCTTATGATCTGTAAACACTTGTACTTTCTCTCCATATAAGTAGGCTCTCCAAACCTTTAAAGCAAAGACCACAGATGCTAACTCCAGGTCATGAGTTGGATAATTAACCTCATGCTTACGCAATTGTCTAGATGCATAGGCAATGACTTTTTCTTCTTGCATAAGTACACATCCTAGACCAGTTCCTGATGCATCTGTATAGACCACATATAATACCCCAGCCTTAGGTAATACCAATATAGGTGCCTGAGTCAAGTGCTTCTTCAGTTCCTCAAAACTCTTTTCACACTCTTCTGACCAAACAAACTTTGCCTCCTTACAGGTAAGTTGTGTCAAAGGCTTCGCTAGACTTGCAAATCCTTTTACAAACTTTCTGTAGTATCCAGCTAGGCCAAGAAAACTACGAATTTCAGAAGCATTCTTCGGTCTAGGCCATTGAGTGATAGTTGTTATCTTCTCTGGATCTACTGCAACTCCTGCTTCTGAAACAATGTGACCCAAAAACCCAATCTTCTTCTGCCAAAAACTGCATTTGGATAACTTTGCAAAAAGTTTTTGATCCCTCAATGTCTGTAACACTATCCTCAAATGCTCAGCATGCTCTTCCTTACTCCTTGAGTAGATTAAGATATCATCAATGAACACTATGACGAATTTGTCTAGATATTCTCTAAACACATTATTCATCAACTTCATAAAGGCTGCTGGTGCATTAGTCAATCCAAATGGCATCACTACAAACTCATAATGTCCATAACGTGTTCTGAATGTTGTTTTCCTCACATCACCTTCAGCTATAGCAATCTGATGATACCCTGATGCCAAATCTATCTTTGAGAACCACGATGCTCCTTGTAACTGATCTAGCAACTCATCAATCCTAGGCAAAGGATACTTATTCTTGATAGTAACCTTATTGAGCCCTCGATAATCTATGCAGAGTCTGAAACTACCATCTTTCTTCTTCACAAACAAAACAGGAGCTCCCCATGGTGAACTACTTGGCCTCACAAACCCTTTATCTGTAAGATCCTCCAGTTGTTTCTTTAGCTCAGCCATTTCTGATGGGGCTAAACGATAAGGTGCTCTGGATACTGAAGCAGTCCCTGGCTCCAACTCAATAGTAAATGCATCTCCTCTTTCTGGTGGTGGTCCTGTGAGTGGTTCAAAAACATCTGCATATTCTGCTGCTACAGAAATTTCTTCCAAATCTATCCCCATAGGTCCTCCCTCAATAGAAATGGTTGCCAAATAAACTTCTGGTCCTTTCCACTTCATTTCTTCTACATGAGCCATCGAAATAACAGGAATTCTGCCCAAAGCTCTAACTCCCTGGAACACCAAATTCCTTTCTGCTTGAGTGAAATCAACACGCCTCCTAGTACAATCCAATATAGCCTTATGTTGCGTCAACCAATCCATGCCTATAATTACTTCATAATGTTTCAGCTCCAGCTCGATGAAATCTCCAAGCAGCCCCTCTTTTTCTATCACTACTGGAACATCTCGATATGTTCTTGAGGACCCAATTACTTCTGTGCCAGCAGTGTCGATCCTTCTCTGCCTATCTTCAAACCCAATTCTCGAATCCCAGCATCTAGCCACCTCAGGACTGACAAAACAATGTGTCGCTCCTGTGTCGAATAATGTGTAGGCTGTAATTCCTCCAACAAGGACAGACCCTACACAACTTTTTCTCTAAGCAGTTCCCAAGCATAAAGGAACCAATGCTACTACTATATGCTAAAAGAAATAACATAAAAGTCTTTGGATAGAAGACGTACCCACAATCGGTTCTGCACCAATCTGATCTGCTGCTGCAAACACTCGAGGTCCAACAGCCTGTCTCTTGGGAGGTGGTGGCAGGATCCCTCTGTTCTGGTTCCCTTGTTGTCCTACAGGCAGCTGCGCTGTGCACTCTCGCGCAAAATGACCTCTCTGACCACACCTTCTACAGTTATTGACTCCTCTTGGACAGTTCTGTTGGGTATGTCCTGGCTGTCCACACTGATAACAATTGTTGGTTTTGGCCCAACAAACTCCACCATGTCTCTTACCACAAGTAGCACACTCTGCAAAACGGTTCTGGCCTTGTCTTGCATCACGGTTATCCCAAGTACGCTTCTGAGACTCCACAACCTTTGTCGCCTTTGCCTGAGTGCTCTTGAGGTGTTTAACTTCCTCCTCAAGCCCAGTCTCCATCATGGCCGCCTTCTCAACCAACTCAATCATACTACCATAGTCTCGAACTGAACAATGGTTGCGGATGTCTGGCCTCAACCCTCTCATGAATCTACGAATCAACTTCTGTTCTCCAGGCTCTCTCCCTGCAAACCTACTAAGGCGGTTGAACTCCCTCTCATAATCCCTAACAGTCATGGACCCCTGGCGAAGCTCCAAGTATGAACACTCCATAGTATCCATTGCTTCTTGTGGAAAGTACTTCCTGTTGAACTCATCTCTGAAAGTCTCCCAAGGTATCTCATATCCAGCAGGCATGCTCCGCATCACACCCTCCCACCAAATGTGTGCCTCTCCACGCAAGAAATGAACTGCAAGCCCTTTCTTGAATTCAACTGGACACCTGGTTGACTCAAAATTCCTCTCTAACAGCTTCCTCCAATCATCAGCCTCCACTGGGTTATTCCCACCATTGAAAATCTCTGTACCCAAATCTGTCATGAGTCTCAGTGTCTCCCAGTATGTGAGACCAATTCCTGGTGCTGGTGCCCCTGCTGGAGGTGGTGGTGGATGTTGAACATGTGGTGCAGCTGGTGGTAGGTGATGGCCATGTGGTGCAGCATTTGGTTGGCCTACTGCTGGTGCTGCTTGTCTCTGCAAAATCTCTCTCATCATATCCCGAAGCTCTTGCACCTCTGCACGTGTTATTGCAGGTTCTGCTCCACCTTGTGGTTGTCCTTGCCCAGCAGCTCGTGCATTTACATTTGCATTTGCTACACGCGTTGTCTTCTTTGGTGGCATTCTGAAAAAGAAACAATACATGAGATCAATATAAACATGTACTTAAACAGAAACTCAAATATTGCTCAAGTCTTGTTTCTTCTGGTGTCCCATTTTATTTTGAAAACTGTTAATTTTCGTATTAAAAGAAAAAAAACCCCCTCTTTTTTTTTTTTGTTATTTGTTTTTTTTTTTGTTTTTTTTTTTTAAAAACGTTTTTAAATCATTTTCCCTGAAAACCGAGCTTCCCGGGTCAGAACCGGTTTAGCTTTAACCTGTCTCTGATACCAATTTGTAACACCCGTATTCCTCATTTTCCAAACACCTTATCTTAAAAACCATTCTTATTAAAGATCTTAAAATCATTCAACAAAATCTCATGAAAACCAACTAATAAAATGAAAACATTTGTTGCATAAAATAAATAAAACCCGGTTCCAAAATAACACCAAGAAACAAGACAAGTTTGAGCAACTATTCGAGGTCTCCATCCACACCTGAAAAAGGAAAAAGAGGAAAGGGGGGATGAGTAATTAATTACTCAATGAGGAGATCATTTCTGCCCACCGAAACATAATAAACATTTCTACCATTATACCACAATCAACAAAACATATAAACCTAGACACTAGCAATCATATACCCCTGCTATAATGCAAGGTAACATTCATCCTTAGGTTCAGTCATCCTCGTGATAAC